CCAGCATAATATACTGGAGATCGGTGCACATGTGTATGAACTTCCAACATATTATGCTGGAACCTCAACACGCAAAAAGTTTCAGTATATTATGCTGGACCGGTATATTATACTGAAACTCCAATATAATACACTGGAGTTCCAGTATATTACACTGGAATTTCAATATATTATCCTATAGTATTTTTTTGGATTTTGAACAGTGTTTTCGTTCAGATCTTTCTTTACATGAAAAGTGACTAAAGATTACTTTTGAAACTGTGGTTGTTTTTAAATGATCACTTGTAAATCTAGCTATTTTTGAATTTCTCCCGATATTTTGACCTTTTTATTTGGTCCAAAATAAGTGTCTTTTTATATAATCAAGAAAGAATTTATTTTATTTTTCCTAAATTTATCCTTATTCACACATATCAATATGTTAAGGTAACAATATACAAATTTTAATTAAGAGTAATTTAGTGAATAAATCTTCTTCTTTTTTTATTTATGAGTTAATATTTTCTAAAAGGATGTGCCACAAATAAATAGTCACTTATTATGAAATGAGGGAGATTAAGATTTTACATGTGAGCAAGGCGAACTGAAGTTTTAAACTCTATATAGATTTAACTTTTTAAGGGTTTTAACATAACCTCATATTATATCTTTATAGTTAGGGGTTTGTTTACATCTAGTATATATTGCAATTTTAATATTCTTACCCATAAACTTACGTTTTGCATCAAAATTACTGAATTCATATGAACATGATACCCTAAAAGAAAACAAGGTAGCTTAGCTAATTAATAGATACGGATAATCGTCTAGGTTCAATGATAGTCTCCGAATGATGGATTACTAATCCTGGTTCGTACATATAATATTTGTGCAACTGTATGGCTATATATATATCTGTGTTCTGAATCTCCCACCAGATTCATACAATCTTATCACTCAAGCTTTATATATATATATATAATAGTAATATTATAATAATACCCATTTCTCTTCAGTTAGTTGCTGCATATAAATAAACCAAAAACTAAGAAAAACAAATAAAAGGAAGGAAAAAATAAAAGAATTTACAGAGAACAGAAAAAACATGGAAATAGAAGTTGGAATAAGAGAAAAGAAACTCTTTCATGTCTTTCATAAAGTTCCTTCAGGTGATGGCCCTTATGTTCAAGCCAAGTATGCTCAGGTTTGTTATTTGCATTATTTCTTTTGAGTTTAATTTTTATATACTAATAATTTTTTAATTTTTTTTTGTATGATGACGAGGTCATTTATAAGATAATTACAGGTATTTTACGTATAATAAATGAATTTAGTAACTTTAAAGGTAAGGCAAATTTGATATCCTTATCTATATAGCATGTTTAGTGATTTTCATGATACTTAGCTAAGTAAAGTTAAGTTACTTTTTCTCTACTTTTTATTGTCTATTTAATTTAGCCGATAAATCATCCGATATTGCTAATCCGATATCAATTCACTCGATATCTTATTGAATAGTTAGCGTATTACTATATTTATAAATCGATAACGATAAGCCAACCTGTTAAGCATAAATATCCGTCCGATAAGCACTCATAGCTGCAATAAAGTAAAAGTTGAGTGATTATTCATGAGATTAATATAATTAAATTAGATAAATAGTTTGGAAGTTCTTAAGTCGATTCTTAGAAAAATAAGCTAATGCTATATTCCTTGAGCAAAGGATTTGATGGGAATGGTCTCTCTACCTTCACGAGGTAGGGATAAAATCTACGTACATACTATCATTCCTAGACTCCACTTATGGAAATACATTGAATATGTTGCTTGGTTTTAAGGAGGAGAGCCTTGGAGAAACGGTAAAGTTGTCTTTGTGTAACCTATAGCTCACAAATTCGAGCAGTGGAAACATCACTAATGTTTGTACTAATGTAAATTATTTACATTACAACCTTTCTGTCGACATTGTATAAATACAAGATACTTTGTGTACCAAACTATTTTTATTTTATCTTAATATTGTTAGGTTTTATGCATTAAAAAGTGATTGATGTATTATTTGCAGCTAGTAATGAAGGATCCAGAAGGATCAATAATATGGTTTTGGAAAGCTATAAAGAGAGGAGACAGAGTAGATAGTGCACTAAAAGACATGGCTGTGGTTATGAAGCAATTGGATAGAAGTGAAGAAGCCATTGAAGCTATCAAATCTTTTAGATGGCTTTGCTCAAAACAAGCTCAAGAGTCCCTTGATAATGTCCTTCTCGACCTCTTCAAGGTATATATTAATAAAAAAATAATTTACGAAATAAATTACCGAGTATTTAAAAAAAAAGAAATTTAAACATAAATTTGGCCTTTTCTAATATTCGTTGGATTTTATTGACCGTTAAATCACACCTTTGCGTGAACATATAATTTATTGTTTTTTATCAGCTGAATAAAAGTAAATACATACTGTCAAACCTCTCTATAACAGGCACATTTATTCCGATCTTTTTTTTACCGCTATAATGAAATACTGCTATATAAAATATACATTATAATATAATATGAAAAATTGGTTCTCAAGAAAACTTGGCTAAATGACCGTTATCGTGAAGTATTGTTATAGAGAAATGTATATCTGATTTGGTAACTTCATGTTCTTTATTTTCCATTTTATCTTGCACTCTTTTTCTGTTTTTATTTTTATATTTTAAAACTTATTTAACTCAAACCTTTCTATAATTTTACCTTTAATAACATTATTTTGAAGTCACAGAAATGTCGTTGTATGTTTGAAGACCGTAAGTTGCCAAAAATCTTTCTGTCGTTTATAAATTTTTTATTCAATCAAACACCTTTACATAAAATAAAATAAGGGAGTAGATATTTTAATCAATGCATTATCACTTGTCTCTCTTGAACTAAACTAATTGTTTTATAATGTAATTTTGTATGTAGAAATGTGGAAAAGTAGACGAGCAAATAGCACTGTTAAAGCAAAAGCTGAGACAAATATATGAAGGGAAACTCTTCAATGGTAGGCCTACTAAAACTGCTCGATCTCATGGAAAGAAGTTTCAAGTTACTATTAGCCAAGAAACTGCAAGAGTTCTGGTAATTATACCTTTCACATTCTTTAATTTTGTCGCTTCAATTTTTTTTTTAGCAGGAGCTAGAAGCCCGTATAAGGGTTCGATCAAACACATTAATTTTTAATTAAACAACATATTTATGTTAAAAAATTTATTAAATATATATATAAATATTAACTTTAGAACCCAATTATTAATATTTGAAGTCGTCGTTATAAAATTCAAAACTCATCCGCTTCAAGCAAATATAGCCTATGGACAACGGATACAAGCTCATCCATCTCTTTTGACTCAGCCTGCATGAATAAAGATGTCAAAATTTTGCTTTCTTTTGACCGGGTATTATTATAATAGATTAGGTACATCTTAAGGAACTTCAATTTCAGTTTTGGGATGACTTGGTGTAGTTTTGAGGTGGTTTGAATTGAAAATTCAAAGTAAAAACTGAACATGAAAAAATATTATGTGTATCACACTGCGTATCATTTGTGTATCACATATATATCATATTTGTATCAATTGTGTATCATGTGCATCCATGTATACCTTTGTGTGAGATACATGCGTGATACATGTGTACCTGAAGTTTTTTTTGAACTTGATTTAGTTAGGAATTTGATACAAAATCAGTCCAAATCACCACTAATCTTCCTTAAATTTTGTATATTGACTTATCTATATATTTTTAATGAATTTCAACCATACCAATTTAAAAGGTCCTTTATTAAACAACTAATATGAAAAGGGACAACCAGTGAGAATTTCATAATTTTTGGTAAAATTGCACGAGCCTGTTTTCGGACTAGTAATTAAAAAATAGCCGGAGTTTGCAAAGCTATTAAAACATGACCACCATTTTGCTGAAACATGAAAGTTTCAAAGCTCATGCAATAAACTTCCAGCATATTATGCTGGAATTTTTTATGTAAAAAATTCGAACTCCAGCATATTATGTTGGAATTTTTCCAGATTTTTAAGGGTGTTTTAAAGTTGATTTTATCTTTACAAAAAAAATGAATAAATTTTGATTACTTTTAAAATTATGGCTATTTTACAATTACCAGTTGCAAAACTGGCTATTTTTAATTTTTTCCCCCATAATTTTTGTGCTTAATTTCCTGGCTATTTTAGGGTAATTTGGGCTGGGCCTATATGCAAAAAGGAAATTATATGGCAGCAGAAGTGGTGTTCAAGAAAGCCCAAATGATTTATCCAGAGAGCAACAAGGCCTGCAATCTGGCCCATTGTTTGATTAAGCAAGCCCGATATGATGAAGCCCGTTATATTCTTGAAGATGTTTGGAGTGATAAATATTTGGGCTCTGATGATACAAGAACTAAAAATCGAGTAGAGGAATTATTGTTAGAATTGGACTCAAAGCAACCACCACACTTTTTGCAAAATATTCCGGGCCTTAATTTAGATGATGATTTTGTAAATGGGCTTGAAGGTTTGATTAATGAATGGGACCGGCCCAAATCAAGAAGGCTACCAATATTTGAGGAAATCTCTACATTTAGAGATCAATTGGCATGTTGATTGATTTCTATCTTTTCTATCTTGGACATGAGGATCATTGTAAATATTTGTAGTCTGGTCGGGTTTATGATTTAGGGTTCAGGATTTAGGTGTTATTTATTTATATTAGATGTATAAAATAAGATGCATGTTAGAATTAGATCTTGGTACAGAGTTTGGGAAATGAATATATTTAGCTTGTGTTAGAATGGATGTGTACATTTTATTATTTTATTTTCAGCTTATGACGTTTTGGTGGTCAAGAGGTCATAATTCGAAATCCAATTTTCATTTAAAAAAAGCTTCAATTCAAGCACAATTTACTGAAGATATATTTTCAATTGCAACGAGGCACTAACAAGTGACTAATTAGCCTCCCTCGAACGAAAACCTGCAAGGTCCTAATTCTCATCAAACAAACCACGTATGTATATGTAATTTATTGGATTCCTTTTTTCTTAAAGCCGAGAAATCCTCGAGGTCAGTGACACACGATTTGAGACTCATCGGATAATAACCTTGCCTCTCTACCCTTTTCCATCTAAATATCAGTTTTTTTATCTTCGGCAGATTTCAAAATCGTAACATGCGTCTAATCAATTCATTGTTAGGACCGAAAAAATCAAGTGTCACGCGGAAACTAGCAAAACAAATCTTGAACGACGATAAACCACACAATAAAAGAGAAATATACCAAAAGAGACACAAATATATAACGTAGTTCGGTCAACTGACCGACGCCCACGGATGAGATGAGCAATCCACTATATAAAAGAGAGTACAAAATATCGAGAGAACAACCTCACGAAGAGGCAAACACAAGTGACACATTAACACTTGTCTCGTAAAATTCCCCCTAAATACGGCTCTCAAATCCCATATGACTACATTGTGGATGCTACTGAATTAGAAGGATGAATCTTCAATTTATAAAACTCCAAACATTTTCCTACAAGAACAAGGACTAGCCAAATATAAAAAAATTATATTTTCCTTCTAGGAAAATAAAAATTCAATTATAATAAATATATTATCTTTTCATTTATGAGATAGAAAAACTAATTATAATAAGAAAATTCGAACAAACACCTAATCCCCATAATTTGTATCCCCCTTGCCACTTGATCAAAGTTATAGAGATTAATTTCTTGAATTCCTTCCGATCGTAAAACAGGAAATCATTTATTTTAATTGAGTATAATCCAAAAAGGTCAATATAATGGTCTACCTTCTCAAATTCCAATATTATCCATCATAACATCTCTAACTTCTAGAACCTGAGCTTTTACTTCTCATCTTGCAGTTTCAAACTACTAATCTTAACCTTTGAAGAAATATTAGATATGTAACTATTTTTTGGAAAGATTATTTCAATTACATAAAGTTCTATAAGTAATTAGTTAGATATTTTATTAGTTTGTAAAATATATCATACCGGAATAAACTTTTTTTATAAACGAATCTAATGTAACATATTAAACATAAATGTTAAAAATTTAAGGTGTAAGATTCTTTCGAAACTATATACATGGATAATTGTTAATTAGTTAGATTGATCATGAGTCGATTTATACACGTCAAAGTAATTATTTTAAATTAGAGTTGTGTGTCTATTTCCGGAAATTAGCCAGATCAATGACAACTTGCATTGAGGTGTACTTGCACTTTTTAAAGTAGCATAAAAAGAGTGATTTAACTTGTGTGAAAAATAACACATAATAATTTTTTAATATTTAATGTGCTTTTGCAGGCTTGAAAGGCCGATGTAGATTGTCTACACATATGGATGCCATAACTCTACTTAATTTCTTCTGATATGAACGGTGGCTTTACAAATAGCACAATGTTAAATTATTCAAAACTGCTCTCATGTTATCTTAGCACCTTTCATGTTATTGTCATGTTAGAAATTTTAAGGTCTTAGCATTATATTATGGCTTAGATACCACCCAAATCAGAGTAGGAGATGCTTTTCTGGCCTCTCAGACCTGGCCTGTTCTTTATACATTGTTTCAAATTTTTCATTTTTCGAGCCATTTACTCCTGCTCAACATTCTTATCATGTTTCTTCACTTTGGCTTGAAAGTCATATTGAGGGGCTTGTTAGAAAGAATCAGGTGTAGCATAAGTGATCTCGGGCGGAAAATGAGAACCATGTGGGATGAAAGTTGGTGGCTCAGTATATGATATTGGTATGTTCGGCTGTGGGATAATGAAGGTGGGAGCAGTATTAATGACCAGTGGTGCTACTCTCAGCATCGGTGCCTGGGGACGAGCAACAGAATGCATACTGGTAACATTGTCATGTGTGGGATCATACCCGTAAGAAAAGAACGAGTTTGGTATGGAACATTGGTAATCCCCCCTCCCCTCCAAATAACCATTTTCGGGAACCTAGGGATAGCACTAGGTTTTTCTTCCCATTCACCCACGCATCCCACATTTCTATTATCTGGACTCGGAGCAGTATATTTTCTTCAGCTATTGCCGACTCTGGTAGAATAGCCGATGCCGAAGGTCAGTTACTTTCACATGCTATTGGTACACTTCCCTTGAGCGTGTGAAATATGGATGAGCGACCAAATTACCACAAACCAACCACCGAAGAGATAACCTTTGTTTGACACACAACAAACTCGTTAGTTTCAGAGCATTTAATAGATAGAAAATCACACGTAGGTATGCCATGCACCGAGCATTAAAATTATTCTATCATTTGTTCAAATGGTTTCATGCCTCATCCCAACTTCATTTATTGCCTTATTTCTTTTTATGTCTCTCTTTTCTTTTCTCACAATCTCTTTTTTGGTCTTATTATACTCTCTTTTTTCTTTGTCTTGCTTTTTTATTTGTGTTTTAGTACATTTCATGATGCCGCATAAATCAAACCTTACGTAGTTCAGGGGAATGAATGCAAACAATAAAAGAAGAATAATTTTTTTTTTGGATTTTCAATATTTTCATTAAACAAAATCTTTTTTTGAATTTTTCATTGCATGACTCGAAAAATACCTCAAGACAGACTCAACTGAAAATACAACGAAAGGAACATAACAAACTTAACGTGAAAAATAAAGAAAAACTCGATAATCATAAATCTGATACAAGTAAAATAAACCTAGAATAAAAGAAAACAAAAACTCTAGAAAACAACACTGTGATATCCATCAATTACTACTCTGGCCTGTTCCCGATCTGGTCATAAAGGACCTCCAAATCAGTCATAACTAGACGTGCAAAGTTCAACATGGCAAAAAATATAGGCTTGGTCCATCTTATCACAATCATTACACTTCTTGGATGTGTAATCAACTATCTTCCCAATTCTGGTCTTTATGTCCCTTTGATCTTGGAACAGTCTCTTGATTTGCTGCTCTCGGACTTGCACCAACTGTTCCGCTTTATCTCTCTAATTTTTCCAGTTTAACTGGTTTAGCAAGTTATAACAATGCTTCCTTCCTGCCCTAAAATCTTCAGATTGTCGACCTATTTCATTTTTAAGGGCACTCAGATCCTTCTTTAAACCAAAAACCTCTTCCTCATGGTTCTGTTTCGCTTGGCAGGCTAATCTCAGGTGATTTTCTGTGTCTTTTCCCCATTGGATTATTCTCTCTTTTGACCTTCCCAATTCTTTCACATTTTGTCAAGTCGTCTGCATAATCAAATACTTTCTACCTCAAGTTGGTGACAATCGTTTGATCCTTTTCACATCTAACTAGCACTTCTATACTCTCTTGGCTTCTTCAAGATGGGCGCGGAGGGCTTTGTTCTCACTGGCTAAACTCTTCTTTTCTCCATCGTCCGCATGTTCTTGTAACTTTTTCTCAAAATTAAGGACCCCCAATTTTTCTTTCAAAGCACTAATAATAGCATGGATTTTTTTTTTAATCTAAAACCCACTGCTCTTTTGCTCCATCAACAAAATTCCTGGACACGGGCCTTTTTGCGGGTCTCTCGAGCTTAACATTCACCATTGCTTTCTTCGCACATCGTATCTAGGTTCAACCTCACTTTTTGACAAGCCATGCACTTGGGTGACACTTGTTCTAGATTGATCGATATATATTCTCAAGAAACGGAGCTTGGGAATGCAACTCAATCACATGAACACTAAGATCCTCATCCCCAGAAACTAGCTGGTACCTTCCCAACTATCGCAACACTCTGTACGGGGCATACGGCTTAATTCTGCAATGGCCCATCAAGAGAAAGTAGTAATCAATGGTAGGAATATGAATAACTTCGTCAACAGGAAGCCAACCAAAAGCCCACTCGACTTGGCTCGAAGTCAATGATACCGGGGCGGTGACGGAGGTGTTCTACTAACCACATTTGTAGCTAAAGGCTGCAAACCTCAAAAAATTTAGCTTCAGTCTGGCAGAATGTCAAAGCTCGGAATATATCTAACACGATCATGGGTACAAGGGTACTTTTAGCTTGGGTAGTCAAATCCAAAACAACTCTAGCTAGATTCAAGTCGATGTTCTTGTCTTCCCCCGAGAATACCAATGTGCCTAAAAATTCCACTATGAAAGAAAAAACCCCATGTACTTCCTACTTGCCTCTACTCCTTTTGTTTCAAAGTTCATTTTCGTGAAACTCGAATCCCTTTGGTTGTCCATAACAATGGTATAAACTGGAAAAAAGCAAAACCCACCTTCTAGGTCTGAGGTCTTGATTTGCCGACTTATTTTCAAAAGATCTAAGAACTTATGAGGAGTGATGCCTCTCAGGGCTATATGCCTTAGAGCTTTGGGATTCCAGCGTAGCCTACTATTTCCTCCAAGGTGGGTGTCAATTCAAAGTCAGAGAAATGAAATACATTATGGGCCGGGTCCCATAATGGCACCAACGCCTCTATCAGATTCCTTCGGGGCTTAATCATCATCAAACTGGTAAGCACTCTAGATGTTGCGTGACCCAATCCCGTCTCTCTTTCCCTAGATCATTCCACCATATGTGAAGTCCTAGTTAGATCTCATAAACAACTCATAAGGATAGGTTCTGGACAGTGCTCATTCTGCACGTGTGAAGAACAAAAAGGTCAAAAGGGAGATATTTTTCAAAGTAATCATGGGAAAGTCAATTCTTGCAAATTCAATTTTCAAAAACCAAGGCAAAACAAAGTGTGGCTAATTTTGCAAATACGACAGTTCAACTGCATCTATTCTTGTAAAAAACGGCCTTCCGCCTTCTCGAGGGAACATTT